CTTTGCCCCAATTCCTGATCCTCAGCCCCTACCCTCATCATTATTAAAGAAAAAATGAGGGAATGATAGAGTAATAATGTCGCCATTTTGTGAATCAGCAGCCATTTTATCCTCAGGCCTCACTTCTTTGCCTCATTGATTGCTGGCTTGTGCCACCACGACCGGAGACTCCCTCGCACGTGCTAACTTCCTCACGCTCCCTCTTCTATAAAAGCCACACCTATCCCAGAGTCAGCACTGCGCCATCTTTCCCCAGCCAGCCTGGCAGTTTGGGCCTGCCATTAAACCTTGCTCTTGGAAGTGAGACTTTTCCGTGAGCTTTCTTTGCAAGTGGTGTTTTTCCTAACACCTATTACATATGCTTCTATTATTTCATGTAGATTTCTAGATACAACATTTATGTTTTCCATTATTACATTTCCAATATTTTTGGCTAGAGTAAATGAATTGGTTTGGTACTTGTGTAAATTTCTGTGCCATATACATCTTTGTTTCAAGGTTAGTAAATATATACTTTTGTTAAATCCTTTTTGATTTTTGCTTAGGAGAAAAGAAATGGGAGGGCAATGTTTGTAACTGTTGAGCACTCTGGTAGGCACTGCATGTGCCTTAGTTTACTGGATCTTTCTTTCATATAAACATGGAGGCATCATCTGCTCTGAGGATGTGAACAGCAAAGCTGAATCTTGCAAAGGCCAAGAGACCTGCTCCATCCACAGCTAGTAAAGGAGCCGCAGGACTTGAAGCCCGGTCTGTCTGGCTGCTCGCTGTTGTCTGCTGCTCCCTTTCTTAGCCCTTTGTGGTTACTTAGTTAGACAACTGGGCCAGGAATTTCTCTCAGCAATTTTTTTTTTTTTGTGGTACTGGGGCTTGTATTCATCATCTTGCACTTACTAGGCAAGCACTCTAACTCTCTAGCCATATCACCAACCTCTTTTGCTTTATTTTACTTTTCAAATAGTCTCATGCTTTTTCCCCAGGGCTGGGGTCACACTGTGATGCCATTCTACTACCTATGCCTGCTGCAAAGCTGAGATTATAGGAGTGAGCCACAATGCGTGGCCTCAGTCCAGCATTTCCTTATATGTGATGAATGATGCTGCCATGTCTATCTCTTTCCCCCATTCTTGTCAGCCTCTCTGTCATCAATTCAATTTCAAGCAAAGAAACTTGAAGGCGCTGTCCTTACCCTTTTGTCTCTGCTTCCTCACTCCCACTCACTGCTCCTTAGCCACTGCAAGCTTGTCACTTGACTTTTCAAGGTCACTAAATTCCTTGAGTTCTCATAACTCACAGTAAACCATTCTGCTCTGAAATTATCTGACCTCTGTGAATTAACAGATATACATATATCTATGTATATATAGACATACAGATATATATATATATGAAGGAAAATGATGTGAAGAGACACAAGGAGAAGATGACTAAATAAAATTAATATATCCTAATAAAAATGTTTTTAAAAAAGATGGCAGAGGGGCTGGAGGTGTAGTTCAAGTGGTAGAGCATCTGCCTGAATAGCAAGTGCAAGGTCCTGAGCAAGGTCCTGAGTGCAAATCACAGCACCCCCCACCAAAAAAAGGCAAGGGAGAACATGATGTTTGGAATTAACAATGTCATGCTACACTGGTGTTCTAGAATCTGATGCTTAGAATATAGAAGGATATGGTATTCTTTGAAGAAGATGGGTGTGGGGAGAGAGACTGGAAAGGAACCAGATCAGTATCTGGTAAAATGTTTGAAGACAGATCTTCCTCTTGTATCAATCATAAAATAGTTTTGAATTTCAATTGGGAACGTTTTAGAAGTTATATAACCTTTCCTATATTTCCAAAGAGGAAATGAACTGTATGGTTGGATTTTCAATGCCACAGCCCAACTCCTGAAAATTCTGATATAATAACAAATAACTCTAGAGGAACGTTATATGGAGGGAAATAATGAAAATATTCATTTGAGAGTATTTTCTGACAGTTGCATATTTCTTCTAGTCCTTCTAAATGACTTTTTAGTAACATTCTCCTTTGTTTATAATAAAGCTTTTAAAATAAAAGGAATTGTATGAACAAAAGCAGAATTCATGATCAGTTGCAACAAATGTTTTTCTTCATCCCCTGAGGTCTATTTTAATCTATTTTGTTTTCTTTCTTATTTTTTCTCTTCTTTTCTGACTTATCCTGATTTTACTAATTACAAAGAAACAAGGTTTTGAATTCTCACCCCCTTTTTCTTTACTCTGCATGCCTATTTATGTTGGAAAGTCTAAGTTCATCACCCAGACCCCTTGACGTTTATGAGCCCATTGAGTGAGGAGGTGCTCTCTTACTCATGCAAACATTTGCTACTGAAATTTGGATTTGCAGATAGACTTGGTTTTATTTTGGTCATGCTTTATGATAAATGAGTCAGCTTTGAGATAGGAAGTTATTACCTACCAGATAAACATAGAAACAGATGAAAGGGAAACAGAAGACTAGAAGAAAATTTGAAGACAAATTTTATGCCTTTTTAGTCTTCAAAGCTTGAACTACAAAATATATGTATATACAGTGAATTTTCAGAATGGTAAAAATCCTCTCTATGATACTATAATAGTGGCTACATGTCATTATACACTAGTCCAAACATAGAGAACATGAGAGTGAAATGATGGGACTGGCAGAGGAGACCAAGGGAAGGAAAAAAGGGGGAAAGAAAGGTAGCAATCAATAGTGAAGTGCATTACATCTGTGTATGAGAAAGACACAAGGAAAAGATGCTGAAAACTGTTAAACAACACAGGCTAGGGGAAATGGGTGAGAAAGTGCAGTGGAGGGGCTTACATTGACTCAAGCACAAGGCATGTAGTGGAATAGTACCAAGGCAAAAATCCATGGAACAATGAACAGACACCTAAACAATGAAGGATAAGAATGAAAAGCAGGTCACACTGCAGGGAGGGCACTCACAGGAGGGGAGGGTAAAAGAAGGAAGTAAAGAAGGTGACTATGGCTGATGTACTTTTTATACAAGAAGGAATATAGAATATTTAAACCCGCTGAAATCACCATAAGGGGACTATGGTAGAAAGGCAAAAAATGGAGATGAATCAATTTGGGACACAATACATGTATACATGAAATGTTATAATGAAGCTCCCTGAGTAGCTATGTTTTTTTTTTCAGTACTGGGGCTTGAACTCAGGGTCTACAACCTTGAGCCATTCCACTAGCCCTTTTTTTTGAAGGGTTTTTTTGAGATAGGGTCTCACAGAACTATTTGCCTGGGCTGGATTTGAACCACGATCCTCCTGATCTCTGCCTCCTGAGTAGTTGGGATTACAGGTGTGAGCCACTGGTGCCCAGCCTGAGTAGCTATCTTAAACAAACAAACAAAAAATTTTGTTTAAAAAATGAACAGAAAAGTAAAACAGGTCCTGTCTGGGGGTTGGTACCAGTGTGTGTGTGTGAGGGAAGATATAAGTGAGAGCTGTTGAAACTCTTCTGGAATGGTGGGAGGAGGGATAAAGGAGAATGATGGAGGGGGTGAACTCAACTATGATGTAGTAAAAGCACTTTTGGAAATGTCACAATGAACCCTTTGTACAACTACACTATACTAATAAATAGATAAATAAATAAATGAATAAATAAAATTTTGAGGAAAAAAGAGAGTGAATCCTCATGTAAACTACAAACTCTGAGCAATGATGATGTGTCACCTAGGTTCATCTTTACGGCAAATGAACCTCCGTAGTAGGAGGCTGTACACGTGAGGGGCATGTGAGAATATAGAGAAGTCGCTTTACTTTTTCTACTCTTGTTTTTGGTATTGCAGCACTTTATTTCTCCTTATACAATGATGTGTTGCTGGTGTGGGGGGCAGAGTATGAGAAGCCTATGAGAACTTGGCATAAGCACAGCTATGCCCAATAATCTGCAGGCTGAGTTTGGCACGGTCCCAGCTGCAGAAGAAGGCAAAGGCAAAATGCAGCACAGCTGCTTTTCCTAAGTTGTTTACGTTCAGAGAATAGCAACAGGAAGGTTCTTCTTTTTCCCAGTAACTACAATGCCACACCCCCTGAGAACTGTTGCTCCACCTCCTGTCCTGAAGAAGGACAGGGAGCTGTTTGAAAGGTGGGCTGCTGAGGGCTGCTTGTGAAACTGCTGCTGATGCTGCTGAGGTGGTTGTGTGTCTCCATCCCAGCTTTCTGCACTAAAAACTCTAGATACAGGCTTAAAAACGCTATGCTAAAGAAAACATGGGACAGTGCAAATCTAAGGACCGAGACCTTAAGAGTTATGCTAATGCAGTTTTTAGATGCGCTGCTATTGTTTGTCTGCAAGTCTTAGCACTGAGACTTTAAGAAAACTAAAGAGAAAACCTGAAACAGTGTGAGTCTAAGGAAAGAGACTTTAAGGGATAGAAAAGAAGCAATATTTTAAAGAAAGACTTTAGAAGTAAGGCCTTAAAGAATAGAGAAGAAAAGAGATTGTAAAAGAAAAGTTATTAAAGAAAAGAAGTAATGAGGTTGTTGTGTGTCTCCATCCAGGTGTCCAGCACACCTGACCCCAGCTTTCTGCATGTTTGTCTTCTATCTTTTGTCCTTTCTGCATCTCCAGTTACTCCCAGTTAGGTTTCTAGGACAAGCTCTCACGGGTCTGAGAGCTTGGGCCTAATGTTCTCATGTAACAGTAGAAAACCAAAATCTGTTGTCGTCTCTTAAAGAATTGAGTACAAAATACCTTACATAAATTAAAAGGATGAATAAATTTACAGGTATAAATGCAAACTGTTTCCAACTCAAGGCAAAAACAACCCATGGCCCTCAGGAGGGAAAAACACGATTAAGAACAGAAATTGGGTCTTTCTCACCCTTTGAGACTGGCAAGACGGGGAAATCTTGCCAGCCTTAGAAATCCTGAAACTGCTCAGGATCTTCATGAGGTAGTCTGTCAGCTCCCAGCCAACCAGGTCCAGAAGCAAGACAGTACAGGGCACGGTGTGTGTGGACCTGGTCAGGAGCCCATGGCACTGCTGGTGATGATGCTGTGCTCAGTGGGGTACTTCAGGGTCAGGATGCCACGCTTTCTCTGGGCCTTGTCACTCATGTAGGAGTCTTTCTGGCCCATGTCCACCATCACGCCCCAGTGCCAGGGGTGCCCGACAATGGAGAGGACCATGGTCCTGGGAGCGTTGTCTCCTGAAAAGCCAGCTTTGCACAGGCGGAGCCATTGTCAATGACAAGCGCAGCACTTTCCTCCTCCGTGGTGATCGGCAGAGAACCAGGCTGCAGAGCAGTAGAGTTCACCAAGGGAGACCTCTGCTCAATTTTGCTGTGGACCTAAAATTGCTCTAAAAGATGAAGTCTATTTAAAAAGTGTGTATGCGTATCCATATAATCACCTATCTGTAAAAGATCTTGTCCCACAAAAATACACATTAATTTACCAAAATACATATGATACAGAAGTATAAAGTAAATGACTTGGACAATCTGTACCAGAGGAATATTTGTGCAAGAATCTAAAACATGGTGTACACCTGTGATCCTAACTCTGCAGGAGGTGTAAGTAGGAGGATCCTGGTCCAATGCCAGTCCCTGTCAAAAAGCCTTTCAGAATCAAAAGATTTTTAAAAACCTATTTGAAAAGTAACTAAAGTAAAAATCACTGGAGATGTGGCTCAAGTTGTAGAGTGCCTGCCTGGTGGAAAGCCCTGATTTCAAACCTCAGTGGCACAAAAAAAGAGAAAATATAAAATATAATTATGTTGTAAAGCAGTTTCTGAGCCAGATATAGGTGATGCATGCCTATAATCCCAGCACTCAGGAACTAAGGCAGGTGGATCTGAGTTTAAGGCTAGTGTGGCCAACTTAGCAAGATCCTGTCTCAAAAATAAATAATAAAGTAAAATAAAACAGTTGTTGGAGGAATGGTACAAATTTGGTTCTAAAATTTCTATATTGTCAGGGAGAGGAGGAAACAATATCCAGAGATCAGAATTATGGTGTCCATAATTCAGGTTGATTAGTTCTCTGGACAAAGCGCAGCCTTTCCTAACCCTGAGCCCTGAGAGAGAGAGCTGTAAGGGTCCATGTGACCTACACTGCTGTCATTGCTGTACCCTGGAATAAGTAGGGCAGCAAATTCTCTGTGAGCATTTATTAGTGTCCTTCAATTTAGGTACAATAAAGCCAAAGAAGCCAGTGAGGAGAGAATTTGCAAGGATGCTGTCAGAGGAGGGAGGTACAGGCATCAAGCTTACAAATTCATCATCTTACATTTTTCTGTGTGTTACAGTATTTGCTGTTAGCGATAACAGCTCTTTGGAGGGCAGGCTGGCAGGCACATTCAGCTTTGGCTTGACCTAAGCAAGAGGAGCCTGGAGTTCTGGAGACCATGACTTGGTGGTGGCTGTGCTGTTGAACTGGGAGACTGCAACTCACATTGTCTCTCTGCTCTTCACTTTCGACAGCTTTTATTCACCTCCAGTGCCATGGAAATGCACCAACCAGAAAGGAACAAGTCATTTTGATTTAGTGTCTTCAATTGGAATATGGTAGTTACAGGACAAAAATCACGTGATAGGTTGGATGTTGCAAAGCAGACACCACGCCATGAGCAAGAAAAACAGCACGCGTTACCAGCACATCATTGGTGGCTTTTAAGACGTGGCTTGATAAACAAGACAGGTCACACCCTATTTTCCAGACCCAGAAATCAAGGATCAGGAAATTTAAGTTTCTTATCTGATGTCACACAGCTTGATTCCAACTGGTCTCTTAACAGTGACCTAATTCCAAGCCCCTTTGCATGTCTCCCTGCACCATGTATGTGAAGCTGCCATTGAGCAAGTCCTTACAGAGACCTGCTCCATGCCAGGAACTGTTCTAGATCTTGGGGACACAGCACACGTCCGTCAAACCAGAGTTTCTACTCTGAGGGAGTTTACGTTCTAGAGAAGAGTAATAGATAATAAAATATAATCAAGTACTATAAAGAACAGGAAAGGAAGATTAATAGCTAAGGTAGCAGTGGGAAGTGGGTAGAGAAGGTGGATTTCAAATAAGATAGTCAGAAAAGGACTCTTAGGGTGTGACTTTTGAACACAGATCTCAAAAAGAGGGGAAGGGGCTAGAGACAAAAGTCCACCTGATCTGCTGACTGAAGCACATAGTGCTCTCTTTTTGATTCTCTGCATCCATATGTTGACCCATATAGTTTAGACTTTTTTTTTGACTACTGTAAAATTGCTATTGGTGATTATTATCACATTGGTAATTATTATGAACTGTTCTCAGCTTGATGGGAGTAAAATCTGCTAGACTAGAAGAAATTTAATTATGTCATCCTAAAATGTGATAAAAATATGGAAAAAATATCCTGGTCACACACAGAAGACTTGGCAAGGCCAGGGTGAGCTCAGCCTTGAAACTGGGTTGAATTAAATAACAGATGGGACTTCAGGATATAGAATAAAAAGCCAGAGTGTCAGGGCTAATGTTTGTATCCTCCACAGAGTTCATCCAATAATTCTTTTCAGTCAGACTTTAAAAAGTATAAAACTTCCTTATCCTCAAAGGGTTTAGACAGTTTAGTTTATTAAAGATGAACAGAACAAAGCAAACAAACTCCATGAGATGTAAACAAATGAAATAATAGGAAATGGCATATAGCTGAGGGTGGCTTCCCAGAGACTCTCAGACACTTTGAGGATGCCCACAGGGTCTGGAAGGGCCCTGCTCATATTTCTTTCTTCTTTCCTCCTTCCTTGTTCCCCTTCCTTTTCCTTTCTTTCTTTCCCTTCTTCTGCTCCTTCTTCTTCTGTAGGACTGGAATTTGAACTCAGGACTTTGCACTTGCAAAGCAGGCACTCTACCACTTGAGCCACTTCTGTGGTTCATTTGCTCTGATTATTTTGGAGATGGGGTTTCAAGAACTATCTGCCTGGACTGGCCTTGAACAGCTATTCTCCTAATCTCAGCCTCCCAAGTAGCTAGGATTACAGGCGTGAGCCACTGGTACCTGGCTCACATTTCTCTCTTATTTTGCCCTAGGGTCAAAGGGTTACATTCCTTATTTTGCAATGCTGAATTTCTCTAATAGATGGAGCAGTGAGTGATCAGGTACAGTTCCTTTGGTCTTAACACTTAAGTCTTCTTTCACGTTTCCCACTGAGTATTTCTTAAAGAACTCACACTGCAAGTGAGGCAAATCTCCTGGGGAGACGAAAATGATCTCCTGAAACTGAAATGTGATGCGTGCCACACCCTTCACCCTGCCCTGTTACTCCTCTTCTGCTGGATTAAGAAATGAACACGATCTTAACAGCTTCAAACAACACAAACTAATTATCTCAGCGTTTTCCAGGCCAAAGTCTGAAATCAGTCTTGCAAGGCAAAAATCAAAGTGTCAGCAGTGCTGCGTCCTTCTGAAGGCTCCAGGAAATATTGCCTTAGTTCATATGTAGAATCAATATTTTTTGTATTTTTCTTTTCTATTGGTTCGAGGACATAATACCAATAATAACAGTAACAGCAGGAATAATGGTACAATAGTAACCACTTCAGTAGTACTTCCTATGGGTGGGGCACAGACCGTTCTCCATATATTAACTCACTTAATTTTTAATTGTTCTATTGACAACAGTCTTACGAACTAGGGACCACTCACATGCCAAGATGGATGAAATGTCACATGACTTTTTTTTTTTTGTCTGATCCCAAACCAGTCCAGGTTAGGACTCTACCAAGTAGTTATCAGCCATCTCTGAAGTGTCCTCACATTGGTATTTCAGTTAGATCTTGGAACCAGTCAATAGCACTTCATCTTTGATTCCAGGCTTTCACTACAACCCAGCTGCAGGCCCTTGAATCATCCTCTCATCCGAGTGCTGTTCACAGCCTGCTCCATCCTGGCTTGTCCTCACACTCCTGCCCTATTTTCTAGTCCTTTCTACCAGGTATGACAGAATCTCCATTCAAATGCAAGCTACTCCATTCTCTGAAGACAATCTGGGCCAGAAGGTGACAGGATGCATTCTAGGCATATTTTTCTCCGTGCCCTGTAGAACCACTTCTCCATTCCTTCTCAGAAAACCTTCTTCCCTGAGCTCTATGCTCTGCTGCTGGGTCATCTTTTCTCCTTCTCATAGTGCTCCTAACTGAACTTTTGTCACTTCTTCACATTTACTGTGAACTACTGGTTCAGGGTGTTTGCACCCTTAACATCTTTGTATTCTGTGGCAATTCATTTAACTCAGAACTTCGGAGTTCCCTGATTCACCTCCAGATGTCTTCACTCCAGAAATTTTTCCCAGAAATACTTCACTGTGATCCTTAATTGTCTCACCTAGAATTGCTCTACTTTTATGTTCTTAAATCCATTAGCCCACTCTGGTCATAACCTACTATTTGTCAATCACTCTTTTTTTGTTCGTTCGGCTTTTTGAGACAGGGACTCATCATGTAGCCAGACTGGCCTCCAACTTTCGATCCTCTTGCCTCCACTTCCTGAGTGTTGGGATTATAGGTGTGCATGCACCACCGTGCCAGCTCTCCATCACCTTTCTTTCTTTCTTTCTTTTTTCTTCCTTCCTCCCTCCCTCCCTCCTACATCCCTCCCTCCTACCCTCCCTCTTTCCTTCCTTCCTTTCTTTCCCTTCTTTCTTCTTTCTCTCTCTCATTCTTTCTCTCCATCCCTCCCTGTCTCCCTCCATCCCTTCCTCTCTCCCTCCCTCTCTCTCTCTTTTCCTCCCTCCCTCCTTCCTTCCTTTCCTTTCTTTTTCTGTGCTGGAGATCATACCCAGGGCCTAGCACATGCTAGATATGTGGTAGACACAGGCCCTGTCTACCACCGAGCTACATTTAGCCCCTCACTCTTACTTTTTAACTCACCTTTGACTGTACTAGGTAGTTCATGGCCATGCACTTTCTCCCTGATTATCTGTATTCTTCTTGATTCACTGTCCCAAGGTCTGCCATATTATCACTGCCTTGCTGTGTCACTGAATCACCTATCTCCTCCTCTTGTCTTTCCATCTGGTTCATTCTACAAAATCTCCAGGCAAACCACAGAGCTTCTCATTCCTTCAAGAGCCATAGAGAAGACCCCATAACTCCAAAGGCTGAGATCATTACAAATTCATGATGTTTAAAATATAGCAGGACCGTCAGTGTTACTTGGCAGTCTGTTATACCTTCCATTCTTCAAG